GTCCGTCGTGGTGAAGAAGGAGCTGAGCTGTAAGGCGAAGCTCTCGATTTACTGGTCAATCTACGTTCCGACTCTCACCTATGGTCATGAACTTTGGGTCATGACCGAAAGGGCAAGATCCCGGATACAGGCGGCCGAAATGAGCTTTCTCCGCAGGGTGGCCGGGCGCACCCTTAGAGATAGGGTGAGGAGCTCGGTCACCCGGGAGGAGCTCAGAGTAGAACCGCTGCTCCTCCACATCGAGAGGAGCCAGCTGAGGTGGCTCGGGCATCTGTTTCGGATGCCTCCTGGGCACCTTCCTAGGGAGGTGTTCCGGGCATGTCCCACCGAGAGGAGGCCCCGGGGAAGACCCAGGACACGCTGGGTCTCTCGGCTGGCCCGGGAACGCCTTGGCATTCCCCCGGAGGAGCTGGAGGAAGTGTCTGGAGAAAAGGAAGTCTGGGCATCTTTGCTTAGACTGCTGCCCCCGCGACCCGGTTCCGGATAAGCGGAGGAAAATGGACGGATGGATGGATGAGTGAACAGTAATGGGTATAATCTCAGTTGAAACACTCAAACAGAAACATTTAGTCATCACCATAATAAATACAAAATGTGTTTGACGTCAGACAGTGTGGTGGCTTAGAAAACTGTAAATGTGTGCAGTGTACATGCATTAAGGAATAATGGCTATAAATTAAGATAAAATCACTACAATTTCTTTGCTGTCATGGAAGGTTTCTGAATTTTCTTTTTTTTCCTGACACTTTACAACCCAAGTAATGACATGTTTAGACTGTAAAGAATGAGAAATATTATAAAGGAACAGTCACTGGTTTAGACTGCTTGTACAGCACACACCAAAACAATAACAATTAGTTTTCCTAAATTCAGATTTTGCCTAAACAGCAGTTTTCTAAATTTAATTCTGCTTTTCCTTTGGTGGCTTCATGTACCCATATAAAGAAAAGTGTACAATGTCTTAATATTATTAAAACTAATTCTTGTGCAGCTTTACCGAATAGATAATAACGTTCAAGAATTGTTGTGCTCAGATTGATTTGAAATCCTTTCCAGTGTTCGCAGTGCTCTCCTTTGTTTTTTAGACGTCATTGAAGCCATCTTTCTACTGCCTGAGTTCAGTTCACCCTACTAGCTGTTCTTGTGCAACTGCACTACCTCAGACACCCAGTTAATGCAAAGCACAAATTTTTTTTATTTATAATCATGACTTGAGGACAACTTTGGTATGCATGTGAGAGACAGATAAAGGAGAGAAGACATATGAGACTCAGGGATTTTTGGTGTTTGTTTTGCATCTCTTTGTGGTCATTTTGCTGTCAGTTTGTGTCCATTGCATTAATCTATAGTTGTGAAATGGAATAAAGTTACAGGTTGACACCATATTGAAGATGTTTTATTACTGAGTTTCTCTTTTTAAAATTCCTATAGCAATATTATACTGTGGGCTGAATGTCTTAAGGCTGACAGGCTTTGTATTGAATTAACAGAAGGAAGTGAGCTCTGCAGGGACAATACCGCAGTTATTAAAGTGAAAATTGGCCCTTTACAGTATGTTATTTTTTGTGAGTTTTTAGCTTGGCAACATAAATTTGCCTGTCCTCTTTTCTAAATGTATATTCCTATACAATGTACACTGAAAATGTTTCTTTAATGTAAGTCGGAAGTGAGAAAATGAGTAGAGACCAAACATGGGACATATTTGTAGTGTCAAATGAGTGATAGTTACATTGCTGCAGTATATGGCTCTTTGAAAACATTACAGGTTGTCCATTGTTTATCTTGACAAATCAGTGCAGAGTGACAACCAGATCAGTTCTAAACACATACAGGATTAAATAAGCCAGGATTTATCCCACACTACAGAGAGAGGTCAGCTAAGTTAACTAGCATCAGAAGAAGCCAAGGCTTTTCTCCTTCCCCTTCTTCTTAGTGTGTGAAGGAGTCTGAGAAAACAACCTGATGATGCAAATGGGACCATAACTAATCCATGGGAAATAAAGATTATAGACATCTACACCAACCTGTTTTGTCCTGAGAGTTGAGCCTGGCTTGATGAGATCTTGAAGGGACTATATCAGTGGAGGGAAGCTCAGCCAGCTTTACCCTAGTACACCACCACCCTGGATGAGATGACTGCAGCGACTGAACTGTAACCTTTCCTCTGGAGTTGATGACTCAAGTAGAATTTTTAAGTTGTGAAAGTGTTCCTTGACTTTATTTGAAGACTTTGTTTGAATTTTGGAACTTTACCACAAAGTTCCACAAGGGCTAGGTCATTTTTCCATGGATTTTATCCTTACACTGCATTTCATTGTATATTTATACAAATATGTCTTCTGTTCTTTAGTATATATAAATATAACTTGATTTGTCTCCATGCTTCTCAGCGGCCTGATCACACTTTTTAGTACACTTTTGAGTACCTTTTTTCTAAGATCCCATGGCCTCTAACTCTGCTACTCTGTTTTCACAGCACACACAGTCTATGACTCATTGCCTGTTTAAAAAAACAACAACAAAAAAACTTATTAGGATTTTTGGCAAACTATTCTTAAACTTACTAAGATTTGTTAAGCCTGAAAACACCCCAGGACTATATCAACCAGCTAAGTTGGTGTAATATGTCTGATTACAGTTTTTCCTCATTGCTAAAACATATTTTCTGAAACAATTTGTTTGGTTTCTGAGTACTTGGGGAAATGATGGAAGTGCTGTATAAGGAGACAAAGAGGGGCTCAATAAGACGCCTATACAGAGGACACAATACATAGATTTGACTTTGTTTTGGATATTGGTCAGATACAGTGTTTATGTATTATAGCCTACATATATGCCCACATGTCAGATTTTTGTAAGGACTGTCCCACTTAATCTGGTAAACAGTATACCTGATCTAGATGAAAGACGGTTCATGTGGCAGATGCAGAAGTAGATGAAGCTACTTTAGTGGACACTCCCCGAGTGGGTGGACGAAAGTCATCAACACAGCACGGGTCTGCTCTCACGTCTGAACCTTGGTGACACAGAAGGAGTCTATATACCAGTTTATGATACTTTATTTGCTGCGTCTGTAATACTGTTGTGTTAAGAGGTGATGCTGGGAGTGGCTGGAATGACGGGCAGGTAAGGGTTGTCATTAGTCGTTAGTTTGGGTAGCAGCAAACGTAGACCGCTAACTTAAGTTAGCTAAAAGGTCAGCTAGCTTTGGAGGCCAGAGAGCTAAATCTAACGTCACAGTAGCTTGCTAATGTAACCACTGGGCAAAGTTAGCGGACAGTGACGATAGGATAGATGCCCAATTTTTAAGGCACTGCACTGGCAAAAAGGTTATTATCAGTGCGTATTTTGACAGTGGGCAACAGTTTACGTGTTCATCCACAGTTAATACGATAGCCACAGTGGAGCTAACTGTACGATTAGCATGCTAGTTAGCGCTTCAGCGGTCCTCACCCAATTCCCCTTTCAGTTCTCAACTTTATGCAGATAATTACTATTTACCTATTCAGCTTTAATGTCTTTCACAACATGTTGAAGTACAGCCATGATTTGTTTTAAGTTACCTAAAGACATAAATTAGTGCATGCATGTGATAAACCAAGGCTAAGTTGCATAGGCTAGTTAGTATTAGTTAACGTGGGTGTTCTCCTAACTGTATATTGACAACGTAATAGTGGAAGTTGATGGTAAGTTTGTTAGTAATTGTGAGGGTATACATATATTTGTGTGTGCGTGCAGGGAAAAACTGTCCACAATCTCTCAACTTGGTTTCAGTACTTCTTGTTCGTTACCAAATAAGGAGATGGCTGTGCAGTGAGTAAGAGAGTTACTGTCCCCCATCGGATTAAAATGATTTCCATTCAATATGGCAGCACTCCCTGAAAAGAGCGCAACAGTTAATGTAAGAATTGTGGTTCTTGCCTTGGATCACATCCCACAGGACTCTGGGGAACTAATGTATTTTATGTTTTTTTTTTCTTTCTCATGTAACAGCATTGCTAATGCTCTGGCCAGTGCAGCCTGTGAAAGGTGTAAGAGTGGATTTGCTCCGACTGAGAAGATTGTCAATAGCAATGGAGAGCTGTACCATGAACAGTGCTTTGTGTGTGCTCAGTGCTTTCAGCAGTTTCCAGATGGACTGTTCTATGAGGTATAGTGTGCTCCAACAATCACTGTTAATTTAATTCACAGATCATTACAATGATGAGCCATACTTTTTGTGCTGCATGTGTGGTGATGATTTGTCTGGTACTCTTTTACATAGAGTATTTAATGTTTTGAATGATTCCCTTGAGTAAATGAATCTCCACCTTCTTCTCCTCACAGTTTGAAGGAAGAAAATATTGTGAACATGACTTCCAGATGCTCTTTGCTCCTTGCTGTCACCAGTGCGGTGAGTGTTACATAGCTTGATTTGTTTAAGGCCCATCCAGATCTAGTATTTGGGGGACTGTGTGGAGAAATGCTAGTGACCACTTGGTGTAGGCTAATGGGGATATAAATATAGGATAAAGTATCTTGTATTCAGATATGTGTTTAGATCTAATTGCAAAAGACTGCATTTTAGACCTGGCACCAGATTGCATCTCAGGTGTGCATCAGTTTAATTTATTTAGTATTAGACTTTGCTTCCTTGCCTATATTTGATGTTATTTGCAAGGACAGAAGCTACATAGAAAAAAAAAATGACATTTGCACTTAGCCACAGGGCTAGAGAATGGTATTGTTTTAATTTTGTGGAAGCTCATATGGGAATAAACTTGAAATTGTTGCCTGGTTGTTTGTCACTGGCATAATATGGGAGATTTGACATGATACTGTGTATGACACAATTTTTCAAACTTTCTTTTGGTCCCTTGTTTGTTAACAAAGACATTTCGTGACCATTATCTGCTGGATGTCTACTTGGATAAATCACAACATCCTCCATGCTTTGTAAGCAGTGCATGCCAAAACTTTCAGCATCACCACACCTCCTCTTTTGTAAACTCCCAGTTTAAGAGTCGGTGCGCTATGCTGGTTGCGATCCTAATGTGTGAACTTTGTATACTCCCACTTGTATTTAGAACCTCACATTTGTGTTTAGATCACATGAGATGAAATTTACTATAACATAAGACTAATTTAAATATTGTTTGTCTGTGTCGAGAGAAACAGACATGCTGTAATTAAATTAAATGGACAATTAAAATGCATTCAACAGTTCAAGTGTCACTTTGAGAACACTACAGAAAGCACTGTAGTGCACTGTTGTAACACTAGGGCTCCATAATGACGCGCTCATTAGGAACTGGTGTACAGCGTGCAAAAAAAGCTTCCAGTCCCAGTAAATATATGAGAAGTCAAACTTTGACTTGCCTCAAGCTGATCTCTCACTTATGGTTTCCCTCAGGGGAGTTCATTATTGGTCGTGTCATTAAGGCCATGAACAATAGTTGGCACCCTGACTGCTTCTGCTGTGACATTTGCCAGGCTGTGCTTGCGGATGTGGGGTTTGTCAAAAACGCTGGCAGGTAAGTGTCCCATCTTATTAAAGTTTTTATATAACACTGTGACAGCCTGTAAAACAGGTGGTTACCCACATACTAAGCTGGTGACTCAGTCACTTGCTTTGTAGGAAATATAGGAATTCTGAGCAGCTGTGACAGAGATTGTCAGAACATTATTTGAGATGGTAGACTCTTGACACCCCTAAATTTTACTCTCCTCCATTTACGTCAGGCACCTGTGTCGTCCATGCCATAACCGTGAGAAAGCTCGTGGCCTGGGCAAATATATCTGCCAGAAGTGCCATGCCATGATTGAAGAGCAGCCACTGATTTTTAAGAATGACCCCTATCACCCAGACCACTTCAACTGCAACAACTGTGGGTCAGTATTACCACTCACCCCACTGCTTAATACAGAATGCAGCACATTCCTAGCTTCAGAATGTATTTCAGGTATTATTTGCAAAGAGACAATCTGTCTTATAGCCTCCTGTAGGGTTAATTCTGTCACTGGGTCTTCAAAGGCAAGTGGTGTCTCTGTGACCTGGTGACCCGTGACCCTTCATTACCACCTCCTTTGGCTTCTTTCAGGCTCTCCCCAGGACCCATTTTCACAGCTTCACTGACAATCTCTAACTGTGAGCTCAGGGGCCATGTTGCTCTCTTTCTTTTTATGTGTATGTTTCTCTATCCACAGGAAAGAATTGACTGCTGAAGCCAGAGAACTGAAAGGAGAGCTCTTCTGTTTGCCCTGCCACGACAAGATGGGTGTACCAATCTGTGGTGCCTGCAGGAGACCCATCGAGGGACGTGTTGTCAATGCCATGGGCAAGCAGTGGCACGTGGAGGTTTGTGAACAAGAAGTGAGACTGTATCAGTACCCTAGATACAGTGTTATTGCTCCTTTATTTTCAAAGTAAAAACATGTTGCTGTTTGTTGTTTTGAGACCTACTTTTAAAGAAAGCTAGGCTTTCAGGAGATTATTTTAGGAATCAAGACAGTGTTTGCTCTGCTTTAATGAGTTGGTATTTGTTTGGAGAGAAATAGGCTAGGCATTTTAAGCTTTTCTTCAGTACTGTAATAGCAGAGAAAACCAAATTGAAACAGCATCTTTCCACTGAGCTGCCAACTTGATGTGTCCAAATTCCCAGAGTCAGTTGCACATAATGGGCCATTAAATTAAATTAAAGGAAAACTTGTGAAATCATTAGGAGTAAGTCCCAAAATCACATGGTATTAATTCATGCAAAACCTATGAGTATAATTGTTTCAAGTGTAAAAAGACTGCAGGGAGTAGGTAGCAGAATGATTCCTGACAGGTTAATAATGGTGTGTAGATATTATTTTTACCCAGTTTTGTAGTTCATATTAGATGTAATGCTATCTTCACACAGAAGCAGGATAAAAATCTGTAATGAATTTCACATTTCCTATGCACAAGAAAATGTAATTCATTAAAGGAACCACTTTAGAACCAAAAGAGTGTAAATGAGCTAACTTGAGGCAGTAAGAGGTGTTCACCCTTTAAAACAAAGATTCATTCTCCTGAGGCAGAATGCAGCAGATCAAGTTGTCTCTTGAGAGGCTGCTGCATTCTATGCCCTCAAAAAGCTCACAAACATCAGCACTGTATAGATGTTGTCTAAAGACTTTATTTAACACTAGAAAATTAGCAGTTTAAAATGATCTCCACAGTGCTGGTGGGCTAAATGTGATTCATATAAAAGTCATGTAATATTCACATTTTACTATTGAAGTCTTGCACCCTTTCCACATGTGTTGACACTTCTGTTGTCAGTTTCATGTACCTTTTGTCAGGGGTTTTCCCTCAGCAACCTTTTGCTTTTGTTTACAGCATTTTGTGTGTGCCAAATGTGAGAAGCCTTTCCTCGGTCATCGTCATTATGAGAGGAAGGGGTTGGCCTACTGTGAGACCCATTATAACCAGGTAAGAAAAAATGTAAAACGATGGCATCGGAGGCCATGACAGATTTCATTTTATGAGTAAAGTCTCAAAAAATGGCACACACCTGCCGTCATTGTGTCAAATTAACAGGTTTTGTTTGCTCTATAAACACCTAATCGTGTTGTTTCTCTGTTATCAAGCTCTTTGGCGATGTGTGCTATCACTGCAACCGTGTGATTGAAGGTGATGGTAAGTGTCACTATGGCTACGCTCATTATGTATTCAGTGCAATGTTCATAGGAATTTACACAAAGTGTTGCTTAGGATACAACAGTTCTTTGATTTTTCTCCTGTGACCCTCTTAGTTGTGTCTGCTCTCAACAAGGCCTGGTGTGTCAGTTGCTTCTCATGCTCCACCTGCAACACAAAACTCACTCTCAAGTAAGTGCTCATTACTAGTTTCTCTTAGTAACTAATTGTTACCAGTACAATACTACCAGCTGATAGTTGTTGTCGTCTCAGTTTTCTGTAGTACTTCTCCACTAGATTATCCAGTCTCAACACATGTCTGTGTGTATTCCGCTCTCCTTCTATAACTCTTCCCTCTTTGGATCTTTGCCTTTTCCTTCTTCTCCTCCAATTTCTCCTCTTACATGCTTCACTTGCTGCGCCTATGGTACCTCAGAGATAAGTTTGTTGAAATTGACCTGAGGCCAATATGCAAGCACTGCTATGAGCACATGCCTGAGGAGCTCAAACGCCGTCTGGCTCGACGTGAACGCGATGCCAAAGACCGCAAGAAAAAGCCAGCTGTCTGCATGTAGATTAACAGAATTACAAGTAACCACTTCATTCAATGGTTGGTGCTGTCTATGACCTCTGCTTTGTCTGTGGTGCTCTTTAACTCTGTTTACAATATTGCATGATTTCTTTGTCTCGTTTATTTTCTAAAACCAACACCCTGCAATTGTTTTGTGTTAATGGTGTGCTTCTGTGTTTCAGTTCATGCTTATGAAAAATCTAAGCTTCAGTCAAGATTTGATTAATTTATTATTTGTTTTTTAATATGAAATAAGTAATTACAGTGAAGGGCAAAGCTGTAGGAAAGTTTCAGTGCTCTCCTTGATAACTCCAGATCAGAAGAAGGAATGTTGCCTCCTAAAAGTATGACGGCTGATATGTGGAGGTGGAGACTTGAAATTCATTATAAGTTGTCCTAATGATAATATTTAGATTCAAATATGCAGGTTGGAAGGGAATGTGAAGGGCTAATGTGGGCAAGAGAGAGTTGACATGTTTTCTCCTTCATTCTTTGCAGAAACAAGTTTGTTGAGTTTGACATGAAGCCTGTTTGTAAAAAGTGCTACGAGAAGTTTCCTCTGGAGCTCAAGAAAAGGCTCAAGAAGCTGGCTGAGTCCTTGGGAAGCAAGTGAGCTCTCTTAGGCCAAACAACCTGGAAGTAATAAACTCCAGCTATGTCTGTGATGGTCAAATATATTGGTAACTTGTTGCCTTACGAAGTGAGAGGTTTACATCAATATTAAAAATGTAAATCTGGGATCCATTTAAACATATAAGCATAAATACCACTGTGGTTTTGTCATAAAGGTGACCTTTTTTTTGCTGTTTTTGTACACAAATATAATTTTTTATACATTCCTAAATTGTCCAGATTTATTCTTTCCTACCAGGAAATTTGGTGTTCTAGTTAATTATAACGTCGCCATGAACATAACTATAAAAAGTGTTAAATTCTAACCAGGGCTGGACCGAAATATTCGGCTATTTGGATATTCATTCTTTAGGTAGGTAATCGATTTTTAGTTTTAGTATAGAAATACTCAAGAGAGCATGAAATTCTGATGCATACACTGAGTGAGGCTAGCTGCTGCACAACAGTTAAAGTGACATCTACAATCTTGTTAGCAAAGCTCAGTGTGGAAATTGTTCAGGTAGCAGCTTCTGCTGATAGTTGCTCTTTCTGGTTAAATTGATGACACGACAAAATGAAACTGGCTATTGTAGGTTTGTGACCTTATTGCAGCCAGTGGACGAACGGACAGCATGCTGTTAGATGAAGATCGTTTATGATGTAAAGAGGCATCACTCTGTAGTTCCAACAACTCCAACAGGTAAAACTATCAGTTGATCTCACATCAGTGATGAAAATGTAGCACGTGGCATACACGCAAATGGTAGATGATCCATCGTCTGTCATCTTTATACATTACAACCCCTCTGTCAATTATTTCTAGCAAAGGTCTAAAGCCCAAAAGTTGCCATTTGGGACAGCCCTACTTGTAACCACTGTGTAAAACTTACCTGAAGAAATTATCTTTTGATATTATTATAAATTAAAATGCAAATAACTGTTAAAATCTAACAGTTACGCCTTAGTATATCTGTTAATTAGACAAAGTACCTACTGAAAGAATTGTACCCGACTTCTCACCTTCTCACCCCAGCATGAGTACTTATAAAACAGCCACCGTGATCTTTGATATACTAACACTCTCTCTTCTTGTCAGCATGGAAAGAAAAAGCTTACCGATAGCTATTACTGGGAGCAAAGCATTCACTGTTATTGAATCCAGTCTTGGATTTGTTTACTCTAATACATATTAACAGATGATATTACACAAATGGAGAAGGAGCCGTGCAGGGACTGTAGCCCTAATTTTCTGGTGCTGCTTGTCTTTTTTTTCTATTAACATGTATATTCCACAGGTTAATATGTGATTCAAAAATTGTCAAATTCGTCCCCGAAACAGTGATTTGGGAGGATGTACTGTACGGTACGGTTGGAGGGGACTGTTAAGATTAGAAAGATGACAAGATCAGTGTTTTCTCTTTTTGAAAAAAGTAACCTGTTTAGTGTTAAAGCCTTCACTATGTACTGTCACTGTGGATGGTAGTGTCATTTTATCACTTGTACTGTAAATACATGGGTGTCTTTGGGCTGATATTTTTAGCAAATTGAATCTTTAACTTGTGAGGGAAATGATTCAAAGCAAATCAAATGCAACAAATCCTCCGATTATTTAACATACAATCATGAGTCAGCACATTGCTTGGACTTTTTGTAAACTGGGAAATGGAGAGGAAAAAAATAAGAGCCATGCACCAAAATATTGTTTACTTGGATGAGTTTTTTTGTTTGTTTTAATGGAGCAATTTTTTAAGTTTACATCTTACTGAATTGCATGAAAAGGTGAGTTACGGTTTGCTGCAGTACTTGGGTTTCTGCTGAATGATCAATAAAGTATTCCTAAATATCATGGTGACTTTCACTTGAGCTTTATTAAAGAGTTATGGTTCTCTTGCCAAAGCAAAACTACAAAAAAGAGGAGATGTATTGTGAATCATTACTGGTACATGCATCAATTTTGATATATATGTGCATGTGATGCCTCAGTATGGAAAAAGTGAAAGAGGAGGAGTGTGTGACAGAAAGCTGTGGTGCTAATTATTTTTCTATGAAAAGGTCATGTCAAGTGTAATTATAATAGTGCTAAAAATGGCTTTTAAAACAATGGTAGAACAATAGTTGGCCCATATGTTTTTTTTGTAGGTAATGTAGTTCACAGCTTTTTATCTCCCTGATTCTTTTTGCCACCTCTCCTATAACACAGTAATCCCCCCCCCCCATAAAACACAAAAAGGGAAAAAAAAACAGTTTTCCCTTAAATGTTTTTTTTTTTTTTTTTTTTTTTTTACAGCAGACAATTTGACTTGTTAAAGCGTTATTCATCTTAACAATGGCTCGGTTCTATTCAAGTGTTTCAGTAAGTCATGGCAGTGATTCAGCATGAACAATACCAGGACCAGCAGCCAAATGGAATTCAGCTGTTATTAACAGTGCTTTGCCTGCTGTGTCACTGTCAAACTACCTGCTGTGAAAATTGCCTATTAGAGGAAAATAGTATGATTTATTAAAAATACAAATTTACAATGATGCCAATTAGGTTTGAATAATAAATGATAGGACATCTAGGTAAAACTGGCTTAATGTGATATATGTGATAGGTATTTCATGCTGATTCATCATTTCTAAGCATTGTCTTTCTAACATTTTACAAGAATGGTTCAAGTTCTAATTATGATATAATGCATAAATAGTTTATGACAAGCCCTTGTAATTAAAATTTGATTACCTCACATTTAAAAATAACTAAAGTTCTTGAATGTTAACTTGTATGTTAAACTTTCAGTATCTTAAAAATCATCTGTAAACTAGTTCAAATGATAAACTGAGTGCACTTGGTTAAGCCCAAAGCTGATCAGCACCTGACTTTTCTCATTAAATTTGTGTTATCACAGATATATATTGCTGAACCAGAATGTTTTAAAAAGGATAACTGGATATTTATTAGGAAAATTGGAGGAGTGTGATAAACCAAAACTGTCCAGTTTGCCTGGCAGCAAGATAGAACATTTTCATTCTGGTTATCAAGGCTCAGTGGGTCATCATACCCCTATACAGCACACTGAGCAGCAAATGAGAATGCAGGGAATGAAGCTGAAATCTCTCAAAGGAGCTGTAGAGAATGGGTGTATGCTAGAGACAGTGGAGGAGGATGCATAGACAGCTTGGCAGGGACTGACACACTGGCATTATTAGACTGAGAAGCACAGTGGCACTGTATATATAGTATGAGCCAGCATTTTAGGGAAGATAAACAACATTGGTGAAGCAGATGCTGAAGTTGTCTGTTTGAACCATCTCACAGACGTCACATTCCTTAATGAGCAAGTCACAGTGAAATGGAATTGTTTCACACTGTACTGGTTTACATATAATTTGATGACAAATTGCAGTAATTAATGTTTCACTAAACCTTGAGTAGACTTCATAAATAAAATTAAGGGCAATCAGATCAGCTGATAGGGACAAAAAGCATAAAGACTTGAAAGCAGGTGTTAACAGTTAGCCAGGCTTTGTCCAAAGTTATAAATCACTAAACCTCTAATGCTAACTAGTTACCGTGATGTGCTGTATCGTGCATGTTTAGTCCATACAACAACATAAATGTAAAAAGGGGTACTTGTGATTTTACTAGAAATGACTTGTTATAACTCTTGGTGAACAGTGGGCAGGTGCATTGAGCTTTAGCAGTGCTGGGAGGTGTATATTTAATCTTGGGTCAGAGCTAATACGCTATCTGATTTTTCCTGCTCTCAGTCTTTATACTAAGCGGAGCTAATTACCTACAGACTCTAGCTTCATATAACATCCAGACATGAGAGTGGTTTTATAATGATTTCTCATTTAACTCTTGGCAAGGAGATGAACTACGTTTTATACATGTTGAACTGTTCCTTCAATAATTACTAGTAATATTGACACATTTTGCATAAAACTTTCATGCCATGCAGTACTGTCTGTATGTGATTTTTATGCACAATTTGAATATTGTTACTGTAAAGATTATTAATAAATGTCACACATGCAGATCATAATTTTAAGAATATCAGACTTAATAAAAATGGATTGGCTTCCTACATTGAGTTGTTAATCAGATTGGGATTAGATGAGAAATGATGAGCAACATGTAGGGGAAATCTTGACAGCTGCTTTTGAAAATGCATCTGCTGCATGTCCTTATCTTGTCGTTGGAGATGTGATGGTAAACCCAAGAAGTGCAGTCTGAAAGTTGCCCATTCACCAAAGGTCATACACAGGAGGTCTTTAAGATCCTCTGCATTACCAAAGATCAGTGCTGAACCATTGAGGTTATTGTTTTTCACAATATCAATATATTTGCTGGGGAATGCCATCATTTCCAACTAGGAAAAACCAGAGAATTAAAGTGTTATAAACACATAGCAGAACAATGATTTACTTCATAAGCTTTGCTATTATAACTAAATGGATCTAAAAATCATTTTCTGTTGCAAACATATTTGATTTGCACTAATAAACATTACTTTGAATAAAAGTTACAATCCTCCAAATTTATGTTAAACCCAATTTTTGTTGCTATTTAGGCAGCATATCTCAACAAAGCCATTCAATCTATAGTATTTACATTGACTATATACCAGTTTACATGGTTTTCATTGTTAATGGAGGGGTCTTCCATTCCAGCACTAGATTCAAATAGCATGGGTTTGTTTGGCTACACTACAAGCAGCTACACCAGATATATTTCTGATAATGTAGCTGCTCAAAGTGTTTTGCCACAGGTTTTGCCAAATCAACCAGGACTGAACTCTTAGTCATTCTAACTTGAAAGAAGCTTACCTCTTTACATACATCTTCTGTATCCATATTGATGAGAGTTGTGATTGGCAGAGGAGCTAGTTTCTTCATCCAACCAGAATCTTTCAGCCTGGATGAGCCCCTGATCTGAGCCAGCTCCTTCCTAATTGAATGATCCAGGCTCACTGTTGCCTCTTCAAATGACTTCAAGTCCTTTACAGTGAACTGGAAATCTACTTTGAGAAATTTTTCAAACATCTCAGGATCTCCATCCTGCTCGAGGAGGTTCTCAATCTGTGCACGCATCATATATAACTCTGCCCTGGACTTACTGAAGACTTCCCATAAGGTCCATAATTCAGCAGTGTTGGTCACATTCTTACGATCAATAACTGCTCTCTGCTGAGCATCTTCAACACACTGGATGATCCAGCTGAGTCGGCAGGGCCACTGAGTGACTAAGACCACCCAGGCTGCAATGTACTCTGGTTGAGGAAGCTCTTTCTTCAAGGCCTTCATGATTATCACGGTTATTCGAATGGAATTGATCACCCTCCTCATAAACATTGCATCATCTAACATGTAGTCATTGAGACTGCTTTTATTGCTGAGCAGGATGCTCATGACCAACTTCTCTACCTCCTCGTCCTTCACATCCAGTGCTTCTGTAGTTTTATTGAGCAGTGGAAAGGAGTCTTCCATCTCCACTGAAGATACATCTGAGGAAAATGTCTGTTTGAGGCACCCAGCTCTGTGTTGGTCTTCTATTATTCTTTCATCTTCAAGGATTTTTGAATTGCTAGTGAGGCTGTAAAATAAACTGTGCTTTAAATCATTGCACAGTGGTGGGATTGTGAAGGCCAGAGTCACTATGCGGTTCAACAGTGCATAACCTCTGTCCTGTCTGCTGAAGCACCCTTCTGCAAAGTTCACTTTTTCTACAAGAACATGTGGGTTTACTGCCAGAATTGAAATAAATTGACTCTCTTCATCTGAAAGCAGGATGTTGATTGCATCCAGAACTGCAACAATTTTCTTGGGGGAACACCGGTCCAGATTGGTGATTTTCAGCACCACTCGAATCCTTCTTCTCTCAAACACCTCCATGAACTTTATGAAGCGAGACAGGAACCACATTTCCTTCCTGACCTCGTTCATGAAGCCCAGCTGACTGCTGATCTTTTCATTATCCATCCCCTTTTTAACATTCATATCCTGGTTGAAGATGAGGTTCTTAACCATTAGAAAGGCAAATCTCAGTGCACTCGCTGCAGGGACTCCTAATGCAGCAATAGCCAGGCCCTCCAGCACACCCACCTGGCCTTTTGTTTCAGTCACCTCTTCACCTGGTTTCACCTCAGGCTTGGGAAGACCATATGTCAGTAGGAATACCAAAATGATAAGTGGTACCACAACAATGGAAAGTATGAGAAACCACAGAGGGCAGCAGCAAATCTTCTTGGACCGCCAATGGTTAGGACCATTCTCCACATTCTGAATATTTTTATGAAACAAAATACAGAACAATGAAAAAGCAGGTCAGATATCACTCCTGTGTTTATAGCCACACTAGCACCAAGGCTCAGTTGGTTTGTAAATGGCTGTTAGATTGGCATGAAACTTTGCACATACATTTATGGTGCCCAGATGTTGAATCATAATGAATTGGTGATCCCCCAGACTTTTTACCTAGTGCAATCATGATGTTCACTGTTTTAGTTCTGAGTGAAATATTGCTACAAATATTAGATGGATTGCTTTGTATTTTGGTACAGATGACTGTTACAGTATAAGTTATGATCAGCTGACATTTCATTTAGTGCCATCATCGGTTTTAAATGTCACTTTCTCCGGTACATATTTTATATAACTGCTAAGGTTTTGAGGTCTCTGCCACTGAGACTTGATTTGTGAAAATTATCAGGTAAAGAAAGGAAAAAAAAAATCACATTTGTTTAACTCAACAGAGACGTTCCTTTGCAGAAACACAACTTTCTACCAAGGTCAAAAACAGACTGGGTACAGAACTTCATTTTATGGCCTAATACTTGCAAAACTAATGACTTTCCTATTACGCTCTGCTGTAGATATTTAGTTCCAAATGATAGCACATAAGTGAACCTGCTCAACTATGATCATGGTAAGCATAACCTAATACACATCAGCATGGACATAAAACGTGAGCATGTTGGCATGCTGATATTAGTCTATAAGTCAAAGCATGGTTGTTCAGAACCACTAGCGTGGCTGTAGACCTTTAGTTTAATAACACAATGACAATGACAATTCACAAACCTTCTTTTTGATTTCTTCTTCTTCATCATGTTGAGCCACACGGTAGAGCGCAAGCTGTAATTTCCCAAAATTCACCTGCATAGACTGAAACAGCCGTATGGCTAACCCGGCCCAAAGCAGGTCACTGCCTGCAAAATGCCAGGCGCTAAAATGTACATGTATGAACCTGATGTTGTGGTGCTGCTGATTCTCCACAGTCCAAATGGGCCTGTAGAAGAGCAACCGGCCAATGAGTGTTAAAAAGCCTATAAATGAAGGCTGAACCGAGCGAGGCCTAGTTTTTCCTTTGTATTCCTGCTCAATCCTCATAGCTTCCTGCATCATGTAACCTGAGGAGACACAAATATTCATAATATTTACATTTAGGATCATTATGTAGCTGGTCAAGGTGCATGTCAGGATGAAACAATAAATATATAAATCAAGGCAGAATGATATCAAGACATGTAAAACATGTTAACTTGGATATAAAGAGGACAATAATATTTTACTTATGTGGCTTTGACCATTTGATAAAATGCCCTGGAGTTTGGCTCTAACCTCAAAACCTGTTCCAAGCAAAAACCATTGGCCCAGCCTTTCTGCAAAATAGTCATATCCAAAACCAGCACTTAGAGTTAATGAATCATGATATTTATTATTTGTCATCTAAAATTTTGAAGCTTTATTATAATATGAACATCAAACACGGTCCAACATGTCTGGCAAAGTTTAAAAATAAAACATAATGGCAAACAAGTACTGCAGTAAAACAATAATACAGTAATACTGCAAGAACTTCAGGGTAACACAAAGACACAACCTTAAACTTGACCCTTCTATTGGAATCCCCCACTAAAGCTGCAAATGCTCCCTTCAGTCTGTTCAGGGTCACTTGTCTTTAAATTAAAAAACTGTATTTTCATTTTTGTAGCTTCACATATTTCACCTGCAAGGTGATCATGTGCTCTTATGTCTCCTAATATAATTTGTTATTTCTTTGTGTGTTGCCCATTTTTACATTCAGAAATATGCTTCTAAATTTGAAGCTGGGAGCTGTGTGTCTTTCATGATAAAAGAATACAGTATGCTTATAATTTTACAAACACTGGTTTACATTGTAATTTGATGCTGTAAGTTGTGTGTGCATGTGATCTGTCAAAACCAGTATTGAGGAAATTGTGTGGACACATTAGTATGTACAGTCTTTGAAAGGGGTACACTGTTTTTAAGGCAACCACTCGTAATTACCATTATTTACTATACATCTCAAATGACAAATGTATAGAGAAATACAGAAACTGTGTGATGGGAGTGTACATTGAGCTGGGATATATATGCAACTTTTTTGTGGTGTGGGGAGAATGGTGGTATTCTGTATTCTGTAGTCAGATCCTGTGCAGTAGTGACCAGAAGTTGAGTGAAAGCATTGTGGGAGATCTAGAGGTTTAACCGTACTAAATCATTATATCTTTATGTCTGTATTCATTGTATCAGTTTAACTTCATTTTATTCACTATACTTGTTACAGTATATTTACTCAGCATTGTTGTGTATAAGGCTGACTGAGAGGTGATCCTAATAGCCTTGAGAGAGAGAGAGAGAGAGAAAGCTTATCAGTCTGTTACTTGGACGGCTGCCCAGACTAGATAGAGACACTGAAGCACCTGTCGCACTACAGAGAGGAAGAGACAGAAGGAGTCTTTTTTGATGTTATGTTGAGAATCCTTAAGTTTGCTTATTTGTGTAACAACTGACAGTACATAGGTCATTAATCTGTCTGGTGACCTCAAATATGTCATCTGTGGACACTTGCTTGTCACAGAGTCATCATATTAATATTGTCTAAGTGTCATCTTATGACAGGTTAATGTGTCTGCTTCTCATTTCTTGATGGGTTGGACATATTTGTATGACAGACTGATGTGTTATATGTTACTTCATGTCACCTTAATGATGTTTTCAGCATGTTTATGTTTGGATGGTTTGAACTGTACTATTAATCAGAAACATATGTCAAGAAGGTATTGTTTGCTCATTAGTAATGTCAGTAACCGGAAACTGTCAGTTTGTCATTTGTTACCTGTATGTTATTAAAGCAATTTCTTTTATTTTTATTTTTAAAATCAAGGAGGTGCTTCTGAATGGTATACTGTAAAAGGAGGTGTAGTGAGCCCTGTAAGTGTTCTGCTTTGCGAATCGGAAACAGAACTTTTCAATATTGTCAGTAACCACAGATGCATACATTCCCGTCATGTTTACAGTGAACATTGGTGAGTAAAAACAGAAAGGCTAATTGCTGCACCAACATAATTTTCAAGACCCAGCATTTTGTAGTTCCCACCCACTGAGTGGACACTGTCACAGGACTTTAATTTGTTGATTAAACTAAAAGTCAGGCTGTTCACTCTGCATGAAAAAAAATGCAGCCCTTCTCATTAATTTGAATCCGGGAAGTGTAGGGATCAGCGCCCTGGGGGTTTCCATTAAAAATGATGCAGTTGTGTGGAAAATAATATCTGGTTCTGGTTCAACCTTTTCTGCAGTGCAAAATGACATCATCTGGTCATTCACACATATGCAAGTGCACAAAACCTTTGCTGTCCAGAGCTGTAATATCCTGTTTGTGAGTTTTACATACTGCTGTGATGTGTTGTGGTGTCTAATACGATTTAAACACAAACCTTTTCCTCCTACTGAACTTCCCTGATTGTATTTTCATGTCTCAGTGCATGATAAAACAACACTAATATATCCGGTGTTATATGACCTAATCCAGACGGGAAAGAGGTGCC